TTTAACGTTGTTTTGGAAGAACTACCTGATGTGGTTAGACATGAAAAAGAAATTAGACAAAAAACTGGGAGGTGGGCAGGCAGGAGATAGCAGTACTATGGTGGTAAGTTTACAAACCCCTTTCTTCACTCCTTCTTTCCAGGCATCCTGATCTCCTTGCTGTTCCTGAAACATGCCCAGTGCATGTCACTGTTGCATTTACTTCTCTTTCCACCTGGAAGACTCTTCCAACTGATAGCCTCAAGACTAACTCTCCTCCTCCATTCATGCTGCTGGTTTTCCAGAACACTCTATTACTTTCTTTTCTTTTATTATGTTAGGTTAATCACCATACATTACATCATTAGTTTTTTCTATTCCACTTCTTTACTTTATTTGTCTCCACGGCACTAATGCCTCCTGACATCTTGTATTTATTAATTGATTTGTTTATTCCCTTTCTCTCCTCATAGAATATAAACTCTTTGGGCTCAGGAACTTTCTGTTGTGTTCACAGCTCTATCCCTAGTACCCAGCACACTCCCTGGTGCATAGGGAATGCCTAGAACACTGTCTGACACATCATAGGCACTCAGCGATTATTTGTTGAATAAGCAAATGAAAGTCCAAGAAAATCAAATGATAAATTATTACAAATAATAATAGAATTAGTGAAGTATTGGGTACCCATTATTATGTCAAGAACAAGAGCCTTTAGGGGTGCCTGGCTGACTCCATTGGAGGGGCATGCAACTCTTGATCTCAAAGTTGTGAGTTTGAGCCCCATGTTGGGTGTAGAGATTATAAAAAAATAAATAAACTTTAAAAAAAAAAGAACAAGAGCCTTTATATTTAAAGAACCATTAGTTAGAAGAGTTAATGGAAGAAAACATCACATTTACAGCAGCAAGAAACTGCCTTGGCATCAAAAAGAAACATTCATGGTCTATATGAAAACAAAACCAAAAACTTTTTAAAATTTCCTGCTGTACCCAAGAGAAAATTTGAATAAATGGAAAGTCAAAACATATTCTTGGCTTGGAAGGCTCCAAGTCATAACAGTTGATTCTTCCTATGGTAATACAAAAGTCTAATATGGTTATATTATTGAGAATATTGACAGGGGTTAGGGGAGAAAGAAAATTAAACAAGCTAATTATAAAGATCATATAGAAAAATATATAAGACAATACAGGAAAATTTGGGAAAAGAGGCATAATGAGGTGATAATAGCCCTTCAAGTATTAAAATGCATCATAAAACACTAATTTGAAAAGATATATTCACCCCTATATTTATGGCAGCATTATTTACAATAGCCAACATATGGAAGCAGCCCAAGTATCCGTTGATAAATGAATGGATAAAGATTGGTATAGATATGTATAGCTATAATGGAATATTACTCAGCCATAAAAAGGAATGAGTCTTGGTATTTGTGATAATGTGGGTGGATGGGCCCTAGAGGGCATTATGCTAATTGAAATAAATAAGTCAGATAGAGACAAATACCATATGATCTCCCTTTATATGTGGAATCTAAAAATCAAAACAAACAAGTAAACAAAAAACCAGAAACAGACCCATAAATATAGAGAACAAGCTGGTGGTTGCCAGGGCAGGGTATGAGCAAAATGAGGGAAGGGGAGTTGGAGATACAGGCTTCTAGTTATGGGATGAGTAAGTCACAAGGAGGAAAAGTACAGCATGGGGAATATAGCCAATGGGATTGTAAGAGAGTAGAAATGGTGACAGATGTTAACTACACTTAAAAGTATAAAATGAAACAAGATACATTATAAACTTAACATAATTAAAACTGTGTAGTACTGACACATGAATAGATAAATGACTAGAACAGAATTAAAAGTCCAAAAACAAACCCAAATACATACAAAAAATGTGTATGGTAAAGATGGCTTTTCAAGTCCTTGGGGAAAAGATGCGCAATTTCATAAACAGTGTGGGACAGTAAAGTACAATCCTTATCTCACAACCTAGGTCCCTGTAAATTAAAATTGAAATGGAATATTTAAATGTAAAAAGTGAAATAATAAAAGTAATAGAAGAAACAATGAAGGATTTCGACCCAGAAACCACAAAAGGAAAGATTGATAAGTCTGTATAAAAAATTAGCATTTAGAAATTTCTGGATGGAAAAAAGGACTAGTAGAAGTCAAAAAACAATGACAAGCTGAGCAAAAATATTTTTGTACTACACATAAAGACTAACACTCCAGCTTTCAAAATGGGCAGATGAAATAAACAGACAATTCGTAGAAAACAAAATGCAAACAGTTCTTAAATGTATGAAAAGCCTAAACTTAACCAAGTAATAAAAGAGAATTATACTAAGAGAAATTCAGATTAAAACTAATCTTAGCGGTGCCTGGGTGGCTCAGTTGGCTAAGCATCCGACTATTGATCTCAGCTCAGGTCTTGATCTCAGGACCGTGAGTTGAAGCCCCATATTGGGCTCCATACTGGGTGTGGAACCTACTTAAAAAAAAACAAAAAACAAAACAAAAAACTAATCTTAGATATCCTTTTTCACCCTCCCACCAAACTGGCAAATATCAAAAAGTTTCCTTCCACCCATGTTGTCAAGTTAATTGCAAAAGAGACACTGTAATATTTTGCTAGGAATATAAAGTGGTCTTTCTGAAGAGGTCAGTCTGTGAGTATTGATGGGAATTGCAAATGCACAGGGGACCCAGAAATTCTTCTTGAAATTTATCCTATGTATAATTATATATGTGTGAAATGCATATATTCAGAGTCAATCACTAAGACATTGTTGGTAACAGGAAAAGGTTGGAAATCACTTAAATGTCTGCCAATAGGAGACTGGCTGAATAGTTTATATATGGCTATTAAAAAGAATGAAGTAACTGTTTATGCACTGAGAAAAAATTACCTCCAAGGCATGTTAGGAGAAAAAAGCAGATTTGAATAGTGTGTTCCACGTGCCCCCATTTGTGTGTCCTGGGCATGGCGGGGTTGGGTGGGGGATGGATATTTACTTGTTTGTGTTAAAGTATCTCTGGAAGGATGCGGGAGAACCTGATAACATGAGTTGCCTCTGGGGAGTGAAACCAGGTGCCTGGAGGTTCGCAAGGGTGATAGAGAGGTTTCTCCCTATCTATCCTTTCCTATCTTTTTGACCTTTGAAACATATAAATCAATCAATATAATTTGCTGGTTATTTAAAGTGAAATCACATTAGGTGCCAGGTGTCAGGATAGGGCAGCAGAAGCCACGCCAGAATGTGTTATCAGAAGAACCAGCAAATCAGCAAGCAGTACCCCCCTTTCCCAGCACAGGGCCGGGCTGAGCCTGACGAGGTCAGAGCAGCTGACTTCCAAGGCCCTCTCCAGCCCATGTCCAGGGATAGAAACTGCAGCTTTTCCTTACACATTTCTTAAGTCATCTCTGTGCCTCCTCCTCTTCTCGGCAGCTCATCAAAAGCTCCGAGGAAAAGACAGACAATTGAAGAAAATAAAATTGCGAAGATGACTTTTATAGGGCTCCTGTTGAATCATTGTGTATTCCACCTCCAAAGCTGAAAATGATGAGTTTAATATCACACAGCGCAGTGCATCTTGTGTCTCTCCAAAGACAGCTTATGCTACCCAGAGAGTTGGGAGCTCGGCAAGACATAATTTTTCACTCCAACTCAGAGGCAAATGAAATGACAGTCATCAGGCCCACATTCTAGAAGCAACACAGTTTTCATTTGGTTTTAACTTCATTTGAAAGTGTCCCAAGGAGGAAGAATCCTTCCAAGCACAGACTTTCTTTCTTTCCCAGGAATACATGCTGGAAAGGGGATGGAAAGGTGGCCAGGTTTTGCCTTGGCCATTTCTAGAGCTGAACCGTTGACGGTGAGAAGTTAGCTGTGCCAGGGGTCAGGCGACCTGGGTTCCAGTCTCAGTTATGCCAAGCTAGACAAGTTTCTCTCACACTTGGAGCCTCTGTTACTCTCAGAAAGGATTGTGAGGTATACATTGGGCTGATATACAGGAAGAGAAGATCAGATCTGAGGGACATTGAAGATCTATGGGCCAAAAACTTCCCCGATTCTTGCCAGGACATTCTGGTGTCTGGACAGTCTCTCTGGAGTCATTGGTCCAGTCGTTCTGTGTGCAGCTCCTGAGCGCCCTTCACGTCCAGCCACTGGGCTCTTTACAGACATCTCCCTACCTTCAGGGAACTTGTAGATGGGAATGTTTGCACATAATACCATATCAGGGTAGGGAATGCTTCAAGTCTGTGTAAGTAGAGAGCAGAGAAAGACTGGTCAGAATCATCTTTACAGAGTACAAGTACTATTTTTTCCTTGCCCAATTTATATATTATTGGGGAGCAGGTGTGGCAACATGAAATGAGGTTAAATAAAAGAATTAATATGTCACATGTAAAACTCCCAGAACTGTGCTTGGCATGCATTAAAATAGTCAGTAAATGATAGTAATCATCGTTGCAGTGCTTGGTTCCCACTATAACTCTCTGGAGGTTGGAATTAAAATAACCCATTTGTCAAATACAAAAGCTGAGACTCTTTGTAGGGCCACGATCTCCCCTAGGCCGCCTCAGCTGGAAATGGCCTAGTCGGGCCCAAACCCCACAAGCAGGTCCAATATAAATACAATTGTGTTACCTGAAGGTATTTCTCATTAATCAGAAAAACAGAGTCTGCTAGTGCCTTTAGTCATGAATGTATCAACTGTTCTGGGTAAGCAACATCTGACTTAACCCAAAAAAACCCTCACCTCTTCAGAACTCTGAAGAGGGCTGCTAAAGGTAGTGCTCTCAGACCCCGAGGGCAGATGGTGTTAAAAGTGAGGGGAAATTGATGTTCACAAGTCTCAACCCTTCCAATTACACTGCAGATGAGTGCTAAATCCACTGACACATAGCCACAGCTCGGAAGGAAGCGTGCACCCCATGTTTAACGTCTGGTCCTTTAAGGCAAGCTCTGTGACCCCAGACTTCTAATTTGTCATCCTTTCTCTCAACAGAAAACAAGCCTGGAGTTTTATATTGACATCCACGCCCACTCCACCATGATGAATGGCTTCATGTACGGCAACATCTTTGAAGATGAGGAACGATTCCAGAGGCAGGCCATTTTCCCCAAGCTCCTCTGCCAGAATGCTGAGGATTTCTCCTACGTAGGTCAAGAGTTCTCTCTCAGCAGCCCCCACCCAGCTCCCTCCCTTTCCTCTTCACTCAGCTCAGTCGGTTTAACATTCTCAGAACGCCAGCTCCATGCCAAGCTCTGTGTGGGTGATAAAGATAGAGGTGAACAAGCTACGCCCATGTCCTCAAGCAGCTCCTCACCAGTCAGGGGGGAGAGTCTTGGAAAAGGCAGCACCTGGTCTTTCTGAGAAGCTGGGATTTGTTCAGTTGATGTGACCCCAGCATTAGCAAGAGAAGGGACTCACCAAGCACCCACCACACGCTGGCCCCTGCCCCGGGGTCTGGGATCTACTTTCTCCTCATCCAGCTCTTTTAGTAGGAGCCTCACCCCTTGCTGAAGAGGGTCGTGTGCCCACCACGCTCTCCCTCCGTGACCGTTGCTGGGTCTCGATTTCTTTGTCAGTAATTTGTGGGTGATCACGTTCTGCCTTGCCCGCATCATAGCTTCCTGTGGGGACAAAGGTAGTAATAGGTGGAAGAGGAGTTTGCAGACAGTGAAGACCTCAGCAGACCCCAGAGACTGGTTGTTACTACCCACCCCACATGGTGAGGAAGACTCAGCAGTGAGAATAATTTGCAGCGAAAAGCAATACTGGAAAAGGGCAAGGAGAGAACATAAGGAGGAGAATCAGCGTGCGGTGTGGGGACATGGGAGAGCGTTTTTGCACATTTTCCTTTGTTTTGATACTAAATCTCTGAGGCCTGTTATTTCCATGTGGCCAGAGGGGGAGAGTCCCACAAAGGTCATAGCAATCTCTGAAGTTGATGAGCTGAAAACTTCCCTGCCCATTGCTCCAGGCCTGGACATTAGTGGAGATGATGAATTTCTCCATAAAGTAAGATGCACTTTGAATCCCAGAAGTTTTGAATGCCAGGCCAGGAAAGGAACTGGCTCAGTCTCCTCTTTGTTCACCCAAGAGACACCTATGGCCCAGAGAAGTCACTCAGCATTTGGTCGCAGAATCAAAGCAGGTGGCTCCCCATTTGCATCTCTGGGGTAGAAACAGCCACGCTTGTTTCTGTAGGAATCTACGGGATGGCCAGCCCCAGGCTTTTTGAAACCACTGCAGTTTCAGAGCAGACTGTGGCCTCCTGGTCCACATTCCCCAAGAGGCTGGGCCACGGGCCTCAGAGACCCTCACAGGGGTGAGGTTCCTGGGGCAAACAAAAGGGGCACGGTCTAGGAGCTTTATTTCCGGCCTTGCCTATTGATGTTCCTGTACTGCAGCCACCTTAAGAGCTCAAGGCTAGGGTCAAGGTCATCTGTCGTCATCCAGTCTCTGTCTCCCCTCTTCTCTGACCCTCAGTACCCGACTCTAAAATGATTTCACTGCATGGACTTCAAGATGTGACATTCTAATTTTCTGACCCCTTTCTTTATCTCAGAATTCATACACACACACACACACACACACACACACACAATTTCTCTTCCTTTCAATGTATCTCTAAATACCTGCCTTGTTTTGCTATTGTCTTTCTCCCTCTTTTCCTTCTTCTCTTATACCCTGCTTCACAAGACACACATTCTCTCATTAAAACCAGTCTCTTTATTTACTTTGATCTTCACGAGTTAGCACAGAATGCCCCCTTTAACCACAGATGAGTCACCCTCACAGTTCCATGAAAGAGATGTTATTATCATCTCCACTTTACAGATGAGGAAACTGAGGCTAAACCAAAAAAGGCAAGTTGCCTAACCTCTCGCACATTTTTGAACAGAGGCCTTGAGACGCCAACCTGCTTTTTCTGTCCTCTCTCTGTCCACCACGATGGGTGAGGCCAACACCCTAGTGGAGAAATAGCCATGATCCCTACCCCCTGGCGATGTTGGGCTGGAGTTCAGCTGCCGCTCATGGAGAGAGAGCATTGTGAAGGAGTGTCGGGGCATCTGGAGTCACTCGATCCTCGGTTCAAATCTGCTCTATCACTTGCTTGCTCCATCTCTGTGAACCTCGTTGCCTCACCCAGAGGGGCAAAGCTGCAACACCTCCGTCAAGGGGTTATTTTGAAGCATAAATGAGATGCCACGTGGGAAACAACATTATAAAGTTGAAAGCCCTGCCCAAATTTTCATTCTGATTATCATCGTAGTATCATTGCTCCTTGTTCTCTGTCTACTTTCCCTTGTTCTATCTGTCCCCATTTTGATTCCCACAAATATTTGTTAAGTGGCAACTGCCACTATCCAGAGTTGGATGCTTTCTTTTAATTCTGTTTGTTTATTTCCTCAGTCCCCACAATAATCCTGTGATCTGTGATTAACATCCCACTTTTCAGATGAGGAAGCTGAGGCCCAGATATGTTGTAAGATTTCCTCAAGCTCTGGTAGCCAGCAGGTGCCCGGCCCTGATTCTCTCCTCCCTGCTTTGTCTTTCCCAGTCCAGCACATCCTTTAACCGGGATGCTGTGAAAGCAGGAACCGGACGTCGCTTCCTCGGTGGGCTACTGGACCACACTTCCTATTGCTACACCCTGGAGGTCTCCTTCTATAGCTACATCATCGGAGGTACCACGGCCGCTGTGCCCTACACTGAGGAAGCCTGTATCCTTGCGAGTCCCCCCGGCCCTGGGCCAGCCCCGCATCCTGCGGAGAGTACCCGGGTCTGGCAAGATTTAATGGGCAGATCAGGAATCTGGTCTCCAGCTCGGTGAGGGCTGACACTCTGGGGTGAGCATGGAGGCTGTTCTGCTTGTGGCACCTTTGGATTGTCCTGTTGGGCCCTTGCCCTTGTAATGGACACCCCCCTTCCCAGCTGCCTCTGCTATGGCCTCATGCTACTCCCATCTCTGTCTCCCCTCCACGCCGTCATGAGGGAGTGAGTCTTCTGCCATCCAAGGTATGTGAGCACACAGGCTGGAGGACCATCCCCCGGGTTGCTGAGGAAGGCCTGGGTGGTCTTGACTCCTCCTTCTAACGCTGAACATGTAAAACTCTACCTTCTCTTTTCACCTTCTGTCTTTTTATGCTCTTGTCTTCTTTCTCTTCTCTCTGCTCACCAGTTTTCCTTGTACCCATTCTTCTCCCCTTGTCTTCTCTCCTCCTAGCTCTATCTTCTGTGGTTTTATGTCCCCTCCCTCCTGGCTTCTCTCTTCTCTCCAACCTCCTGTCCTCTCTTTCTCTCCCCGTGCTTCCTCTCTGTCTGCCCTGCCCTCCTTCCCATCCTCTGCACATCTTTCTCTCTGCTTTGGCATTTCCTTCACCAAATTGCTTTTCCTCTTAACTTCGTCATAAAATTTCTCCAAAGTCCCCCACACTTGTTGTAATGAAACTGGAGGTTACTTTCTAGCTTGCTTGACTTTCTAGGGATTATTTAGTCATTCTAGTTTCCTGGGTGTTGATTTTAATATCAAGGTCATTGCATGAGGATTGTGACAGATTGTGACAGTTTTTGTGTTCCTTTATCCTCTTGGTTTTGGACTGACCCATTTCTCCTCTCCTAACACTGAGTTTTCTTAGGGAAAGAATTACAGTTGATGGAGGAAAGAGGAAATGGATGATATTAACTCTCTCTCTCTCCTTCTCTCTCTCTCTATATATATATATAAGTATATATATATATATTCTCTCTCCCCAGAAGTAGAAGTGTTCCTTTTAGCCTTTTTCAACCTTGGTAAGTGTTTCTGGAATTCCTGCCATACTCTGTACAGGAAAACCTCCCTTCTGGTGGGGGCATGTCTTTGGACTAGTCCACCCAGTCATTTGCAGCCTGGTGGTTCTGGAGGTCCAGTTCCCTTGCTGAGTACATGGAGGCGGGGTGATGGCCCCCAACAGAAGGGTGAGCAGTAGGTAGACCAGGTGTTAGAGCAGTGTTCCAGATCCAGCAGAACATTGAAGAGATCATGATAAGAACTGAGAGTCCCCCTCCCTCCAGTCACCAAGCCTGAGACAGTCATCTTGAAATCTGCTTTAATAACTACTTGGCCTAACAAGGCCAAGGGAGTAGGCTCTGCTGTGAGGCAGAGGACCCTGGCCACCTCTATGTGCCACACTGTCCCTCCCCCGTCCCCGACACTTGATGTGTGGCCATGACTTCTCTGGGACCTGCATACACCGATGGGTGGCATTCCACACTGCACCTGCTTTGCTCTCCCCTAATGTTGAGGGAGTTGCCTGGAAGAAGCATTTGAGCATGCACGCCAGAGGGGATCCCACATGCTTATTCACATAGGGCCATAGGTCCCTCCAGGGGAGACATGCACTTAGTCTGTGGTTGATTTCTGATGTCAGAGGTGCTTTCTTAGCACCTCACCCACTTTTGTGTTGGAAGTAAATGCGTTTCTTCGTAGAATGCCCCTCCCTTGGCCTAGGCCCAGATTTCCTCCTCAGCTCCCAGTCCTCATTCATCAAAATAAACACACTGTCAGTACCTACCAGGAATCCTACGAGGCACCCAGGATAAAATACTCAACAAAAAGCCATGGTTCCGACTCACAGAGCTCTCGGTCTACTTGGGGAGACAGAAAGGAAAGAGGCAATTCTAATAGGTATGGTAAGTTCTGTAGTAGAGGAGTTCCAGAGCATCATGGGAAACTTTCCTGTGACAAATCCGTATGACTGTCTGCCATAAGCCAGGGTAAGTTCTAGGCTCGGTGGATGTAGCAGTGAACATGCTAAAGACAAAAATGTCTTCGTATGGAGGGTAAAAGGAGACTCAAGCACAATTTTGGTAGGTCAAGGAAGGCTTCCCAGTGGAAGTGACATCTAAGCTGAGTTTTTAAGATTGAGTAGAAATTAGCCAGATTGGGTTGGGGTGGATTACTGGAGGGAGGACGTGGCAGACAGAGGGGAGGAAGGACATGGCAGACAGAGGGGAGGAAGGACATGGAAGACAGAGGGGAGGAAAGAAGGTGTGTAGGAGGTAGGAAGTGGTCCTGAATGGCTGAAGGACTTTGGATGCAGGAGATGACATTGAAGTGGCAGGCTGTGAGGAATTTGAACTTGAACATGAAGACAATGGAGAGCAATAGAAGGGTTTCACACCTTCTATTGGTGTGGAAAGCCTATATATGTGGAAAGCCTTCTATATGGTGGAAAGCCTCTCTGGCCACAGTGGGAAGGACAGATTAGAGGGGGCACAACTGTGGGCAAGGACACTCAGAGGAGGCTGTTCTGACAATCCAGGGGGAGATGAGTCAGGCCTAAACCTGGGGGCTGCTGGGGAGTCTGTAGAACAGGGAACTCCATACATATGGATTTGGTAAGTGATGGGATGAGGGTGTCAGTGGGGAGCAGGAGCTAGTGATGGGAAGGAGCCCAGGGTGGACAGCGAGGTGGTGCACATGGCACACAAGCTGAGCAGAGCAGAATGCCATCGGAGCTGCCTTGCCTTGTTCCATCACCTGGAGAGAAGAGGAGGCACCAGGACTTGCACCAGGGAGGCCAGGCCCGTTCATCACATGAGAGTGACTTAACCTTGTTCTTGCTTGAAATGCATGTTTCCTCTCATAATAGAGGGAAACTTGAGGCAGAGAGATTTTGATTTTTGTTGGCTGCTGGCTCTGTGTCCCAATCACAGAGAAATTACATGGTCTGATGGAGATGGCAGTGTGGTCTGGGAGGAAGTCCTCCAGACCTGGACTGTGATGACAGCACCAGCATCATCCCAGAGAGCGCCCTTCAGCAAGTCCTGTACCCTCCACAAGGTGAGCCCGTCCCCTTCATAGAGGGACCATGAACCTTCGCTCTCCTAATCCCTGCTATGGGAATTAAATAGAGACAGTCATGAAAAATGGAGCATTGAGCAAAAAGCAGACTTTCAACTGAAACAAATCTGGGTTTGAATCCTGGCTCAGCCACTTGCTAGATGTGTCACCTTGGGCAAGTTTCGTCATCTGAGTGGACCTCAGTGGCCTAATCTGTAATGGGAGGACATAGCACTAAACCTCACTGAGTTGCAAGGAGTTAAAATGAAATTATGTATGTGAGTCGGCACCATCAGCTTTCAATATTAAGTGACTGTCGGTTAAAACGTCCAAAAGGTGTATGTGACCATGAATGAGGACCTACGTTCATGTGAAGAAGGGGCTGTTAGAACAACAGGCCATGGCCCTGTTGGTAGGGTTCATGGGACAAAGGGTCTTGGTAGAGTCACCACAATGGAGGGCCTTGGCCTCACAGCACCAGCTGGCTCTCGGAGTGGGGATGTGTAGTTCCCATGGTGGGGTTTTCACGTCTGCACCCCAGAGCAGCCCTTCTCGCGTTGGGGTACGCAGAGGACATGTTAGTTATCCAGGGCACGCTGGGTGAGAGGAAGGCCAGTGAAGGCCTCGGGGCAGAGGGAATCCTGAGGGATATTGCACCCGGGCCCACAGTAGCATCCACCTCTCCGCCCACCAGAACATATGTATCTGTCAGTTTAATTTTTCTCCCTGGAAAAGCACCAGCTAAACATTATCAGGGGCTTGTTCTCCAACCTTCCTTCTCCACTCCATCAGGGAAATGCAACAACGGACACAGTCACTGATGCTTCCCTCGCTGTGTGACCTTGGGCTGCTTATCTCACCACTCTGTGCTTATTTCCCCGTTTGTAAGATAAAAATAGTGATAACACTCTGCAAGGTTCTTGCGAGAGTGAAATGATGCCGTGTATCTCCAATCCACAGGCACTGCCTGGCACATGATATGTACTCAACAGATGTTCCTTCTGCCCCGACTTTTCTCACCCCCATAAGGACTGCATAGCTTTCCTCTTATTGGGTGAGTCTTTAACCTGACCATCTGGCTCAGAAGCCAGCATCCGGGGTTTGAATGCTGACTCTACCACCATTACTAGGGGAACCCTGAGCAAGCCCTGCCTTTTCTTAGCCTCGGTGTCTGATACTTCAACCTGTCAGAGCTGTAGAATGACATCAGGGGTGGACTTGATCTCTACTGTCGTCCCATCTGGCTCTGATAGTCTAAGATTTTTCTGATTCTGAAATCAAAAATTTTATAATCCCATGCTTAGATGAATTTATAAAATCAAGAATACACAATTCTGTTGTTTGGCGAGTCTAAAGATGGAGTGATCCCGTGAGCGTAAGTGTTCAGTCTAATAGGGAAAATCAATACAAAGGTGTCTTAGACAGCCGATCAAGCTAAGCCCATAGCTACTTTCATTCTTTTAGTTAAGGGGCTCTTATTAACTGAGGCGCTTCTGGATGGGCTTCAAGAAAAGTCTATGAACTGTCTACAGTTTATGCAAAACTATGAGTAAAGATGCACAGTTCATTTTCTGGAAGGAAGACTCATGGCTTTTAACAGAATCTAAAAGGGAGATATCCTCAGAGGCTTCTGCCCTGGCTGATGGTCTCCATCCATGTGTCTGATATAGGAGTCCTGCGCATCAGTTCTGCTTTGCATCATTCTAGCTAAGGGCCTTAACCCAGTTATTTAACCACTCTGAACCTCAGTTTCTTCATCTGTAAAGTGAGGATAACAATTATTTGCTTCACAGAGTTGTTTTGAGGGCTAAATGGAAGAATGCAGATAAATCACTGGGCACACACTCAGTGCCATTAAATATCAGTTCCCTTGCCCTTCCTTCCCGTGGTTTGTTGTTT